CGGAGCACACTAGGCTCACAGGGAGGGGGGGGCAAGAGCTCCAACGAGTCGTTTAGTGGAGAGAGTGAATACTGCTGAATACACATGCTTGACAGAGATGCTGTATGCGAAACCAATGTGAGTTTGGAAAATTGCACAGTATAAATCTATTTTAGTATACCTCAACAATGTAATTATGATCAGTGGAAATGGCCATGACATGGGCCCTTTAACTGCTTTCATCGCGACGTGATGTTTACAGTGAGAACAGCTGTGAGGTCCGTGCAGAAAGCAGAGCAGTGTGTACAATATATATCACTCAGTATAACAGGCCTACTCTCTTTATTTGTATGCTTTAGTTTAGTAGATATCTACAAACAAAGTCGATATTTTTCTAAAACCATTTAGTGCTTCACATAATAAAATACACAACGGCTGTAGCCTGATTATGCTTTAGGAGCTGTAGGTGCGTGTGTGTAGTGTAGGTGTGTGTGGTACAGTGTGTGCGTAGATGCAGCAGACAGACAGGTCTCAGTTGGTTTGGTGTCCTCTGCTTACTTGTAATACTTGTAAATAAAACTTTTGGCCCGTCATTTATTTCCCTCATTGTAGCGACCAGAGAGGGGAGGGGGGGGGCATATATCCAGTCTCTGATAGTGTTACGTTATTATGAGAGTGCTCTGTTTGATTCTGAAATTGTATATATTTATATAAATATATACATATGTGTGTGTGTGTGTCTGTGTGTGTGTGTGTGTGTGTGTATGTCCGCATCTGTAGCCTGTTATTGTCTCATTATACCGCACTGTGAATGAATTAAAAGTAAATATATAAGTCGTCATAAACACATCTGTCCATCAGACAGAGGGCTGCTGTGCCTCCTGTCATCATTAATGGACGTCTCTTTAAAATGACCGCTCAGAGGAGAGGAGTTCTCATTTCTCTAACCGCCTGCTGCTTCCCCTCCTTTCTCCTCGGCTCCCCTCCTCGGCTCCTCCGCTCCAATCTCCTGTGGGCGGGACTAAGTCTCGAGGATAGGAGTCGAGGAGGGGAGTCGAGGAGGGACATTTGATGAAATGAGAACGGGCCAGTGTCTCCACATTCTCACACACACACACACACACACACACACACACACACACACACACACACACACACACACACACACACACACACACACACACACACTTTGTATTGTATTATTGTATGAGAGAGGTTCCAGGTTGAATTGAGGCGAATATTTGTAATGTTCAGAGGTTGTTGTGTTTAATATTCATGAGAATATTTGTCATTGTTCAAATGATAATAAACAAACATATAAAGCATATTTCTCCACTCATATGTTGATAAGAGTATTAAACACTTGAAAAATATCCCTCTAAGGTACATTTAGAACAGATAAAAAATGTGCGATTAATTTGCGATTAATCGCGATTAACTATTTGAATCGACTGACAGCCCTAATATATATATAATATATAATATATATATATGTCAATGTGATAAACTAAATACTAGTTAAATGAAACTGTTGGATCAGTGCAGTTATTTCTCTGAGATTAAAGCAATGGTTGCGCAAACCTGAATTTACGGGAATGTTTCATCAGTGTGTCCTTAGATAACTACTGGAACCTTGATCTGCTGACTGGAACTGGGCTCATGTGCGTGGGAGTATACTACATGGTATTAAGTGATTGGATGCTGATCATGATTTTTGACCAACCGATATGAAGTCCCTGAACGACTCAATGGAGCCGAGAGCCGCATTGGAGATTCTCTTGTAAACAATGGTGCTGGCAATCCCAGGTCATTTACAGCCTGTTTTGTTGGAACACGTTTGAGGAACAATTATTACGTTTTTCTCTATCAAGTTTACCCTGGTGCTAAATTTGTTTTTGGATAAAAAATGCCAACAAACGTGGTCATACCCCGATTTATAGTTAATTATTGACCGCCATATACACGGATATCCTTACATTGCCAAGAAATAGGATTGGAGCGGGAATACCCTTCATTTATGAATGATTCCTCCACTGTGTTCTGATCTGATCACAGAAATGGAAAAATACCAAGGTCGCCAAATTAAAGGCCTGATCGAGGGTCTTCAATTGTGATTCTGTGAAACTGCTGAGTTCCAGGTTGCCAACGGGATGGACAGCAGCTATGTTTATATAGGTGTCCCTGGAAGAAAGGAGTACCTGACCCTCTGTGAGGTGGAGGTGTTTGCCTCTGCACTGGATTAGCATTCAATGTAATGGATTTGCAAAGATGCTGTAATGTGTACACAAAGCATCCAAAATAAAATGTTAAATGTTGTTTGCATGGCGTCAATATTTACTGGTGGAGATTGCAACAACATTGCCCCAAATGACCCCCCCCAAAAAAAAAACCTCTGCCTTGACTTTTGCTTTTACATGGGACTTGTACACCTTCTGGGAATGTGCTTGTCTTGTGTCATAAGAAAATAACTGTTTTTTTGTTTCTATCAATCATTTAAGAACAGTGAAAGCAATGGTTCTGAAGGCAAGTTTTTTATTTTTTAAATACAGACAAAATAGACAAATATTATAAAAGACATCTGAAAGCTTTCTTACCCAAAGTTAGATCAGAAGATCAATCCCCATCATGTCTGTAAGAGTGGTATCTTGATAACTGAAGGGCCGCAGACAATATTAAAGTTCAAATCTGGAGGCCCAAACAAAGACCAGTTTCCTCTGTATGCCTGAGCCGTTTGTGTTTTTCTGTAGAAAGCATTAATAACAAGACTTCCTTTGGCAAAAAATACAATAAGAAAGAAAGATAACCTTTTTAAGGCCATACAGTTGTATTTCACAAAAAATGTGGGTATTTACAAAAAAGTTCTGACAAGGCACAGTTGGAGGCAGTCTACTTGTTTTGCCATAAAAAACACAACTCTCTCTGTCATTTTATAACTGGATTAGGAATAAAGTTTGCCTGTTTAAATGTAACTGTGAACACATCGCCATGTAAGAAATCCCAGCAAAGCGACACATTACATTACATTACATTACATTTAGCTGACGCTTTTATCCAAAGCGACTTACAATAAGTGCATTCGACCAACAAGATACAAACTTGAAGAAAACAGAATCATATAAGTACATCAGGTTTCATAGAGCTAAAACATTTCAAGTGCTATTCAACTGGCTTTAGATAAGCCAGTCCTTTATTAGTATATAAGTGCTTTGTTAGCAATTCTTTGTTAGTAATTATATCGCTCGAAGTGGAGTCGAAAGAGATGAGTTTTCAGTCTGCGCCGGAAGATGTGTAGGCTATCTGCTGTCCTGATTTCAATGGGGAGCTCATTCCACCATTTTGGAGCCAGGATAGCAAACCCACGTGTTTTTGCAGATGGGAACTTGGGTCCCCCTCGCAGTGCAGGTGCAGCGAGCCGTTTGGCTGATGCAGAGCGGAGTGCACGTGCTGGGGTCTATGGTTTAACCATGTCCTGGATGTAGGAAGGGCCAGATCCATTCACAGCATGGTACGCAAGTACCATTGTCTTGAAGTGGATTCTAGCAATAACTGGAAGCCAGTGAAGTGAGCAGAGGAGCGGTGTGGTGTGGGAAAATGTTGGAAGGTTGAAGACCAGACGAGCCGCTGCATTCTGGATGAGCTGCAGAGGTCGGATGGCACATGCAGGTAGACCAGCCAGGAGGGAGTTGCAGTAGTCTAGGCGTGAGATGACGAGAGCCTGGACCAGAAGCTGCGTCGCTTTCTGGGTCAGGAGGGGACGTATCCTCCTGATGTTGTAAAGCGTGTATCTGCAGCAGCGGGTTGTAGCAGCGATGTTTGCAGTGAAGGACAGTTTGTTATCTAGGGTCACACCCAGATTCCTTGCAGTCCGAATCGGGGAAACAATAGAGGTGCCGATATTGGACACAAACCAATACAGAAAACACATTCAATCTCCAATTCATCAGCACGTGTTCAGCGTTTGGAAATAAAACACTGCATAGACATTAAAACACTTATAAACATCTTTATCAAGTTGGCAACACGTGCATGCTGAGGCAACATGCTGCAAGGCACAGTTAGAGGTAGTCTACTTGTTTTGCCATAAAAAACACAACTCTTTCTGTCATTTTATAACTGGATTAGGAATAAAGTTTGCCTGCTGAAAGCTGAATGATATGCAGTAAAAATTGTATTTCAAAGCTTCCAAACATAGGAAGATAATTGTCCAAAGACTCTTTAAACACTGCTGGCCTCAAAAGAAACATTTCAACAACTTTTGAAAACTACAACTACAGAAAAATGTGGATTAATGAAGTTTAATATAATCAAGTGTTAAATCAGACTTTAGTTCCACCTGGAGTAAATCCACACGCTACCCTGCAGTATACAAAGTCATTCAAACTAGCTGCACCTTTACCAGCTTTGATAACACTTTCATGATCAATCATTATAAAACATATCATATATATTATTCTGAAATGGACCAATCTGCACAATTACTACTTTTACTGTCGCTACTTTCACTATATTTTGAAGCTAATACTTTTTCTACTTTTAATTGATAAATATTTTGAATGCAGGACTTTAACTGTAACAGAGTTTTCCTATACTGGTACTTCTACTTTTACTTAAATAGAAGATCCGAGTACTTTTCTCACCTCTGCACACGACATCATATAAACATATGTTTCTCTTGCATTTGTAGCTATGACACAATATATATAATATATATATATATATATATATATATATATATATATTTATATATATATATATATATATATATATATATAATATATATATATGTCAATGTGATAAACTAAATCCTAGTTAAATGAAACTGTTGGATCAGTGCAGTTATTTCTCTGAGATTAAAGCAATGGTTGCGCAAACCTGAATTTACGGGAATGTTTCATCAGTGTGTCGTTAGATAACTACTGGAACCTTGATCTGCTGACTGGAACTGGGCTCATGTGCGTGGGAGTATACTACATGGTATTAAGTGATTGGATGCTGATCATGATTATTGATCGACTTTGGGGGAAGATATCATACAAATAGCTCAGCTTTAAGGGTTATTATCTACAGACACTTCTTGAAGTAACTTCGACTCAGAGTTATTTTGTTGGGACAAACCCTCTATTCTCACTGGGAATCAGGGTAAGCATTTCAATTCTCATTCCTACTATTTTATTTTAAAATATTGTATGTTTCAAACATTTTGTAATAATATTAATGTTTGCAGTGGTAGAAGAAGTATTCGGCTCCTTTACTTAGGTAAAAGTACTAATACTGTAATGTAAATTACTCCATTGCAAGGAAAATACTGCATTGAGAATGGTACTTAAGTAAACGTTTTTAAGTATGATATATATTAAAAAAAACTCAAAATCCAAAAAGAATTCACATTTGAAAAGCTAGAACTGAAAAATACTTACACCCAAAAATGTATTAAACAATTAGTTAAAGTAAAAACAGAAATTCTGGTTAATAATCTGGGGAGATTTACTCCTAGGATCAAACCAGAGGTCACAAGTCTTGGTGTCGTATTAGATTCAGATCTAAGCTTCAGCTCTCACATTAGCAATGTAACAAAAACATATTTTTTCTTAGAAACATTGCTAAAGAAAAAAACATTCATAAATCAAAAAGATGTTGAGAAACTTATACTTGCCTACGTCTCAAACTGGATAGACTACTGTAATGCACTTTTCAGTGACCTCCCGTAAAAAACGACTGACAGACTTCAGCTCAACCAAAACTCTGCAGCTCTGCGGATAACCAGAACTAAGAAGAGAGAACACATTAGTCCAGTTTTAGAAGCTCTTTACTGGCTTCCTGTTTACTTTAGGATTGATTTGAAGGTCCTCCTCCTGACATATAAGGCCCTTAATGGGCAAGGACCTAGCTATATTACTAACTCCCTTGTCAGCCACAAGCCGTCAAGAACACTGCGTTCTTCTGCTGCTGGTTTGTTAGAGGTTCCCAGAAACAGCCGCAAAAAGACGTTTGGTGATGCAGCTTTCGTTAATTATGCCCCAAAGCTATGGAACAAAATACCTAGAGACATCAGGGATGCCTGCTCAGTGGAAGTCTTTGAAAATAAAAATACAATGTAGCCTTTTAGGAAGCAAACTCCTGCTCTCTGCTGCACTTTCTCAATGCACTCTGATGCATTTTGACCTGTCACCTGATTGTGTGTTGCACTATCCTCCTTTTAAAGGGGACCTATCATGCAAAATGCACTTTTTGATGTCTTTCATACATAAATATGTGTCCCCGGTGTGTCAGGGATGTTTTGTATCTTGCAGACAGGTTACGAAAAATCATTTATTTCAATACACTTAGATCTGATTTTCATTTCTTAAATGATGCCTTTCAGAAATAACAAAGAAATGTGTTTTATGTTAAATATATTATTTTAATGACTATCCTAGGTCTCATCCAGAATGATGAAACTCAGTGTTTTCCTTCTCATGCTCCTCATGGAGACGTGCTCAGTCTCCACTTATCGTGAGTATGAATTGTTTGTATAAGGCGTCTTCACTATAAAACATATCAGGGAAGTGAATGTAAGGCTGTCCGTTAGCAAGAAAAGCAGGTTTATACAAAGTAAGTTTCATTGTCTAGATCAGAGGTTCCCAACCTTTTTTGTCTCGTTTACCCCTTGAGCTGGTCTCCATTCTATAAGAGCCCCCTCACTCATCTGTGATGATGCGCCTACATTTTTTCTTTTTAAACCCTTTTCTAATCGTATTTAACCAAACTGCTCCTTAGTTGATAAGTCACCCTTAATACAAATGCATTTAATCTTGACCTTTACACTTATTCTAGCAGTTTCAACATCTTTTGTTAAGACTAGAGCTTTTAAAGAGACACTCGACCTTGCTTATCTTTCGTAAACTTTCACAACCCCTGGTTGGGAACCACTGGTCTAGATTATAGCTTTAGCTCCAAAAAAAAGAGTTATTTAATGCATGAAATATTGTAATCTCACTGCTCACATTAGATATATACTGTATGTTTTGCTGCTCCAATAACTAGTTATTGTTTTTGTGGTAATACTGTTTAAATGTAACTGTGAATGTTAAAAGCCCCTAATATGGGGAAAATATCAGACAAGGAAACAGAGACGTTGTTCGTTTGCTTCAAGTCTAATGTATTATGCACCAGTCACATGGTACACATAGCACACTGTATAATACAAAACATAGATTCTTGACATAAAACAAACACTAACAATGCATGTACTGCAAACATACATCCAATTTAACACACAAAATGTCCCTTTTTAAATGCACACTACAAACATACATATCCAAATTAACACACAAAATCCCCTTCTTGGAGCTAAACTGCACTATCATAGCTAGCGGCGCTAGCATAGCTAATGGCGCCAGAAAAGCTAGCATTCACAGCTACAACAATTACAGAACCCAGAAAAACCCTCCAAAAATACCCTCCAACAACTATCACACCAACAGTGTGCTTTTCACATTAATATTACACACAGTCAGTCTACATATATAACATTTATCACGGATGAACTCACCTAATATGGGGAAAATATCAGACAAGGAAACAGAGACGTTGTTCGTTTGCTTCAAGTCTAATGTATTATGCACCAGTGGCAAACAACAAGCGCCCTCTGCTGGACAGACCCGGAAGGTCATCAACCATGACTTGTCATATCTATTACATGAACACATCGACAGCAAAGCGACACATTACATTACATTTAGCTGACGCTTTTATCCAAAGCGACTTACAATAAGTGCATTCGACCAACAAGATACAAACTTGAAGAAAACAGAATCATACAAGTACATCAGGTTTCATAGAGCTAAAACATTTCAAGTGCTACTCAACTGGCTTTAGATAAGCCAGTCCTTTATTAGTATATAAGTGCTTTGTTAGCAATTCTTTGTTAGTAATTATATTACTCGAAGTGGAGTCGAAAGAGATGAGTTTTCAGTCTGCGCCGGAAGATGTGTAGGCTATCTGCTGTCCTGATTTCAATGGGGAGCTCATTCCACCATTTTGGAGCCAGGATAGCAAACCCACGTGTTTTTGCAGATGGGAACTTGGGTCCCCCTCGCAGTGCAGGTGCAGCGAGCCGTTTGGCTGATGCAGAGCGGAGTGCACGTGCTGGGGTCTATGGTTTAACCATGTCCTGGATGTAGGAAGGGCCAGAACCATTCACAGCATGGTACGCAAGTACCATTGTCTTGAAGTGGATTCTAGCAATAACTGGAAGCCAGTGAAGTGAGCGGAGGAGCGGCGTGGTGTGGGAAAATGTTGGAAGGTTGAAGACCAGACGAGCCGCTGCATTCTGGATGAGCTGCAGAGGTCGGATGGCACATGCAGGTAGACCAGCCAGGAGGGAGTTGCAGTAGTCTAGGCGTGAGATGACGAGAGCCTGGACCAGAAGCTGCGTCGCTTTCTGGGTCAGGAGGGGACGTATCCTCCTGATGTTGTAAAGAGTGTATCTGCAGCAGCGGGTTGTTGCAGCGATGTTTGCAGTGAAGGACAGTTTGTTATCTAGGGTCACACCCAGATTCCTTGCAGTCCGAATCGGGGAAACAATAGAGGTGCCGATATTGGACACAAACCAATACAGAAAACACATTCAATCTCCAATTCATCAGCACGTGTTCAGCGTTTGGAAATAAAACACTGCATAGACATTAAAACACTTATAAACATCTGTATCAAGTTGGCAACACGTGCATGCTGAGGCAACATGCTGCAAATTCAGAAAGCGTAATCCAACTCACAATGGAATAGTTTTTAATGATCACCGTTCACAGTTCTAACATCAAGTCATCATTTACTTTTTGAGAAACGTGCAGCATTTCTCTGTTTGTAATTTGTGTTTTTTCTATTTTCTGTTTTCTTTAGTTGTTGTGCGTTGAATATTCAGGACCAGTTATCTGTTGGAATACTAATGTAGCTTAAACCATTTTCCAATGTGTGTATTATAATTATATATTCAACTGTCTCTTTTCTAGAAAATGTGGCGTTGCGTGGAAAAGCAACCCAATCAAACTGTTATGAGCAAGCTTTTGGAGCTGCCAGCAACGCTATTGATGGAAACCGTGATCCTTACTTCCCTTCTGGATCGTGCAGCCACACTGATGAATCAAGCAACCCCTGGTGGAGAGTGGACCTGCTGGAGCCCTACATCGTCACTTCCGTCATCATCGCCAACAGAGCAGAAAATTCAGAAATGCTTTTGGGGGCACAGATCCACATCGGCAACTCTTTAGACAACAATGGTGCAACAAATCCAGTGTAAGACATTTCCTGCACACATTTTATTCATTTGTTTTGTGTAACTGTCTGAGCATTTTGTTTATCTTCTCCTCTCCCCTGTTAATTGCGCACCACCAGTAGACAGAGGTGTATTAAGATGCTTTACTTGAGTAAAAGTACAGATACCCTAGTTTCAAAATATTTCATTACAAGGAAAAGTCCTGCATTCAAAATGTTTCTTAAAGGGGACCTATCATGCAAAATGCACTTTTGTACGTCTTTTATACATGAATATGTGTCCCCAGTGTTCCAGGGAACTCACCAAGTGTCAGAAAACACAACCCTCTCTATTTTCCTCCATACCCAAATCTCTAAAAAAGGGGCTGCAACGGATCTGATAAAAACTGATCCAGATTTGAACACTGTCCTGACGTCAGGACGGTGGCGCTACGGCTATTGGGCCAACTCCACCAATCAGGAGGAGACAGCCACGGCATTGCCGTTTGAAAGCGCTGGAGACGCTGTAGTACATATGCCAGGCCTCTAGATGGTGCTCTAGATGGTGCTGTTGCTCACAGAATCAACCCTTGCAAAAACAGAGCTAACATTTTTCAAATTGAGCGAAATGAGGCATGGCTAAAATGCATGATCTGTTTGGTATTTTGAAAAAAAAAAAGTATAAATATGCCTTATATAGGTATGGCCCTACACTATATTATTCAAATATAGCATGTTATGCTGTTATTTGACATATTCAAATCAACTCACTTGACTTTAAGTAAAAGTACAAAAGTATTATCAGCAAAATGTACTTAATGATTAAATGTACATATGTATGTGACATTTCTAGATATATTCATGCATTAAGAAGCATTTTACAAGTTTAATTTTATTTATATGATTTGACTGTTTTGTGACTTAAAGAGTTCGTCCCCTAGTTTAATTGTTAGAGATACATTTAGTTAAAAGTAGCTAAAGCTGTTAAATGAATGTACTGGAATAAAATTACATTATTTCCGTATTGAAATGTAGAGGAATAGGAGTAGAAAGTAGAATTAAATGGAAATACTCAAGTTAAGTACCTCAAAATTGTAAATGTACTACCCACCTCTGCCAGTAGATTCTCATAGAAACTGTTCCTAAATGTTTCAACCATGTCATTTTACTTATTTGCTTATCAGAAATATAGGCAATGCTGAAGTGCGTTAAACTTGCATCGTCTTTCATATCTCGCAGTGGGTGCCCCACTGATTGCAAAAAGGAGTCAGATTGTATAGAAGTCTATGATGAAATTACCAGTTACATTTTATCTATCTGTTGAAGCCTTAGGGGTATAACATGTCATTCATGTTCTTCTTTCTTTCTCACTTTTGTTCTCTTTCTTTTAGGGTTTTTACAATTACTACAATAGAGTCATTGTACACTCTGACTCTCACTGATCGTGTGGAGGGACGCTATGTGACTGTGCGTATACCGAGTGATGGAAAGGTCCTTACCCTCTGTGAGGTGGAAGTCTACGGGTACCATGCCCCAACTGGTGAGGGTTTGGGATCTTACATAAATAATGTGTGATGAAAAGTCTATGAAAAATGTTCTTGCAACTCACTTGATGTATTACCGCTGGAAAGAGTGTAACTATTAGTTTATGATCTCAATTGTTTGTTTCAAGTCTTCTTCAATCCAGCATGATGTTCAAGTTGTAAAATATGGTCCCATTAATAGGAAAAAGAGAAAGGATGTACCAGCCTTTCATGTCACTTATGATTACTAAAACAGGTCTTATTTTATTTAATGTTTAATTTGCCAAAACTGACATTTAGTTAAACTTAGTGCAGTTGTAGTTATATATAACTTTAAATATAGACACAATATATTATAGACTACAGTATTATATTACTTTTATTCCTCTTTTCCAATAACAAATAACTGTATGGTAGTTATTTGTTTATACAGTATATGGTGGGGTTATCCCTTTTATGTCCTTCATCCTGACGGCAAATTAAATCAAATCTTTTGAGAGTCATGGTGAAACAGTATAATAAAAAACAATCTGCATCAGGAGTCATACATATTATTGATTTAACCTAAATCTTTGTTTTGTTTTTTTGTTGCAGAAGATAACCTGGCCATTCAAGGAAAAGCCGGACAGTCATCAGTGTATGGGTCTGGCCCTGCAGATAGAGCCATTGATGGGAATCGGTCCCCCTGGTGGAATGACGGTTCCTGCAGTCACACAAACAATGATATGAACCCCTGGTGGAGGCTGGCTCTGCCCAAAACACACAAAGTGTTTTCTGTTAAGATAACCAACCGAAATGAATGCGCCGAACGACTCAATGGAGCCGAGATCCGCATTGGAGATTCTCTTGAAAACAATGGTGCTGACAATCCCAGGTAACTTAGAGCCTGTCCTATTACAATACTAATATTAAAAAGTCACTAAATTGGTATTTTGTTGGAACACGTTTGAGGAACAATTATTCAGTTTTTCTCTCTCAAGTTTACCTGGTGCTACATTTTGGATTAAAAATCCTTACATTGCCAAGAAATAGGATTGGAGCGGGACTACCCTTCATTTATGAATGATTCCTGCAATGTGTTCTGATCTGATCACAGTAATTGACAAATACCAAGGTCGCCAAATTAAAGGCCTGATCGAGGGTCGTCAATTGTGATTCTGTGACATGATTTGAAAACATTTATTTAAACATTACTGAAATATAAATATTGTTCATTATCAAGCCCTAATTAAAGATCTGCAACCAACATTCTAACCAAGTAAAACGTAGAAACCTAATGACGCTTTGAGTGCATGTTGAACTTAAAATGAAAAGCCTATTACTTCAATAAACCCTTCCTGAGGTTAACGTAGTGATTTCTGCTTCTTCTACAGGTTTGCTGTAATCACCAGCATCCCGGCAGGTCAAACTGCTGAGTTCAAGGTTCCCAACGGGATGGACGGCCGCTATGTTTACATAGGTATCACTGGAAGACAGGAGTACCTGACCCTCTGTGAGGTGGAGGTTTTTGGCTCTGCACTGGATTAGCATTCAATGTAATGGATTTGCAAAGATGATGTAATGTGTACACAAAGCATCCAAAATCAAATGTGCACCTTAAATTGCATTGTTTGCATGACGTCAAGATTTACTGGTGGAGATTGCAACAAAAGTCTGCCTTGACTTTTGCTTTTACACAGGACTTGTACACCGTTTGGGAATGTGCTTGTTTGATGTCATAAGAAAATAACTGATTTTTTTTTTCTATCAATTATTAAAGAACAGTGAAAGCAATGGTTCTGAAGGCAGGTTTTTTATTGATTTAAATACAGACAAAATAGACAAATATTATAAAAGACATCTGAAAGCTTTCTTACCCAAAGTTAGATCAGAAGATCAATCCCCATCATGTCTGTAAGAGTGGTATCTTGATAACTGAAGGGCCGCAGACAATATTAAAGTTCAAACAACTAATGTATGTCTGGAGGCCCAAACAAAGACCAGTTTCCTCTGTATGCCTGAGCCGTTTGTGTTTTTCTGTAGAAAGCATTAATAACAAGACTTCCTTGCGCAAAAAATACAATAAGAAAGAAAGATAACCTTTTAAAGGCCATACAGTTGTATTTCACAAAAAATGTGGGTATTTACAAAAAGGTTCTGACAAGGCACAGTTAGAGGCAGTCTACTTGTTTTTGCCATAAAAAACACAACTCTCTCTGTCATTTTATAACTGGATAAGGAATAAAGTTTGCCTGCTGAAAGCTGAATGATATGCAGTAAAAATTGTATTTAAAAGCTTCCAAACATGGGAACATCATTTTCCAAAGACTCTTTAAACACTGCTGGCCTCTAAAGAAACATTTCAACAACTTTTGCATAAAAATACTTACACACAAATAAAATATAAAAATAGCGTACTACAGAAAAATCTTTCCCCAGATCAGCGCTGTGCAGAACAATAGAAGAAGTCAGATGTTGTCAAGTTTGCAAAGGGTATTGCTTCACAGTATGTGGACATCAATGATTGGGCCTGCCAGACAAAATGTACTTCTTAAGCCAAAGTCAAAGAAAATAAATTCCTAACATTAAGAAATAATACTGATGTATGAACAGCATGTCTTTGAAAACACTGTTTCCGAAAGTAAAGATTCTATATGACAGAACCAAGGGAACAATAAAAAGCTCGGAAACCTTTTGGTGTAATGGAAACATTGCTGTATGAAAACAATGCAGCAGTAAAGATGGTTGGCAACAGTCCACAGATACTGAGAAGTCAGGGCGAAATGTCCAACCGCTCAGTGAATCACAGCACCGCAAAGAGGGGGGACCGTTGGGCTTCGAGTAAAAAGCAGCAATGGCAGTGACTGATCAAAACCTAGTGAAAGATCAACAGGTGCTGAACTAGTCCATCTCACTGTGTTATCTGAGATCTTTGGAGACTTTTAGAACTTTGTAGATGTCGTTGGAGAAGACTGTGGTGAAGTGGGGTCGTGAGCTTCTGGACATGTGGGTGCAAAGGGGAACTTTACCCACGTTTTGGGAATCCTCAATGTCCCAGATCTCAGGCATGCTGCACCCGGGCCTGAGCGAAGAGAAAGGAAGACATGGTTAATGAGAATGACACACTATTTGTCCTGCAATTCAAGTCAATTTAGATTTTTTAAATGATTATATATAATATATATACATAACCATGTCCTAAAATGCACACATGAGTGGTTACCATCAATTACAGAATACAGGGTGCCATGATTTAACCATACAGAAACACTCTTTTCGGCACCAGTTAAAGAGGCCCTATTATGCTTGTAGGGGTTTCCCCTCTTCTGTAGTGTGATATAAAGGTTTGTGTGCCACATTAGAGTCACACAATACAAATATGAACCTGAAAATTAGCATAATATTTCCTCTTTAGTGCAAAATAAAGTTTAACCCCAGATCAAATGCAATGTAAATACTGTTATATTATATTTTACTATATATTTTGTATTATTCAAAAATATTTTTCTAGTTCTCTTCCTCTGTTTTTAATTCTTGTTTTTATGCACCACGACACCAAGTCAGATTCCTCATATGTGTAACCCAGCGCCATATAGATAGAAGAGTTACGACAGCGGAAGTCCAAAATGCTTGATCGTCACGTGGTTCAGGGAGAGTCAATAGTTCCCCGGAAGTTCGTGGCGGGACATATGAATGCATGATTACCGGAGATAGAACTACGATTTTTGGTAATAAGCAGTGAATAAAGGTCTTAATTTGCAATATGTATACAACATACCGATATGTGTATGTATTTACGTCAATATGTTTTAAAAAATAAATAGAATCTGCTAATATTTATGGATAATATTAGGAATAGTGTGAACAGCTAGTTTACTTGTTAACATATACATGTTAGGCTAACGTTGCCTTGGTTAAAGAGCCTGTTGCTGTTGTGTATTGCTTTGAATTATTTAAAACAAATATTATCTTCTTAAACAGGTATGGTAGTCAGGAGCATCACTTCCTAATGTTTATTGATATATTTAGAGGGAGGGGATGGCAAGGAATGCTTCAAAATTTAGATTAGATTAATTTCTACCATTTTTTTTAATTCATGGTGGTTTCAGTAATCCCATGGTACTTGAGGACATAAGTAATCTAAATGAGTAATGTAATCTTTATGACTTTCAGAAAGGACAGGAGACCAACAGGTGACTATCAATGGACTAGCAGCAACATGATTATGACGTTAAAAGTGTTGTTTTAGGAACATCCATTGTAAATACATGGAATTCAATAAACATTGAATAGCATGTCATGTAGTTTGTCTGTGCCTTTTCCTCCGTGTTGTCCTGGCATATAGTCTCCACCATGGTTTGCTGTGCTGCCTGGGGATGCTCCAATCGTTCAGAGAAAGGAGTAAGAATCAGAATGTACGGCTTCCCCACTGACACAGAGAGGAGGAAAAAATGGCTAGCTCAAGTCAGCAGGAGCAATTTAACAATCAAAACAGACAGCCGCAACAAAATATGTGAGGTAATCATATTCAAACACTGCATTTGCACTTTTTCACAAAACGAAGACCACACCATTGGGAAGCTTAATGTTTGGTTTAATACAAATAACAGGGAAAGGCTTGAAAAACTCTGAGAGTTGAGACTCAGGGTGCAGGGTGAGGGTCTCAGTGCAGGTATTCAGGCTCTATTGAATCCCCCTCTGGTTCTTGTGCTGAAAGAGGGAGAAACAGACAGGAGAATGGGTTATACACACCTATATAGCACACCTATTGGATGGGAAATTGCCTTGGGGAGATAAGGTGTGGTCTTTGTTTCCAACTGAAGTTATGGAACTTTATTATTTGTGAGTTTAACAAAGTATGACAAATGGCATCAGTAATGGATGTGATATGAATTTGTATAAAGTTGTCTCACATTCTTGGTCGTATTTTACGTACAGTATGTAATGAGTGTATACATCTCCAGTAAGTCCTCCACCCGTAACATCACTGCCCCTCCACCTGCAAGACAAGATAAGATTACTTATATAATACAGTGATAGAATACATGTTTAGTATGCTTACTTATATACAACAGTAGTATTAAATGTACCTTGTGTTTTCACTCTCCCTTTGCCATCATTTCAAAATCAGCTGAGCTGCGACATAATACAGACAGGTAATAATCAACAGAATACACTAAAAACACTCACCCATAAATTACGTTTTTGTTTACTGTTTGAAAGTCTCAAATATGCACTCTAAATTAATATCAATAGCGATGTATCACACAAATAGCTCTCTTCCTTATTATTGTGTAACGTTAACTTTATTATACTAGTTTGTAGGCCTACTCCAAAATGGAGATCCACCTCCACTCATTACAATCACACGTGCCCCAATGTTATATTTAACTAATATTATATTCCTCCACCCCACAAAAAAATCACGTTTAGAAGCCCTTTTTCTCTAATTCCACAACGTTGGATGAAATAACATTAGGAGAACGGATTAATAGCTGTTCATGGTTAACGTGTGTTGCTAACTTTATCCGGTATCCTAGCCTAATCTGTTATCTGTAAACGTAACATCCTTTAATACACATGTTCATTTGACTCAGATGTGCTGATAATATCCGCAATATAAATCTTTAAACGTCTTCTTACCTTTAAAAGTCCATCACGAACGGTCTATTATGCTGCAACTCTACTGTGCTGCTGCCCGCAATAGTTCCCCGGAAGTCAGCGGCAAGCTAACTTCCGGGGAACTATTGACGGCTCCACGATCCGCCATTGCTGTGAAAAAACTGGTCCATTGGAGTGAACGGAGATGTCGTAACTCTTCTATTATACGGCTCTGGTGTAACCTACCTGGTAATAAACCTGTTTCTGAAATATTATCTTCTGTGATTGTAATGTTTGTTGAGTGTCTGAACACTTTCCTTAAATCTTATTCGTTGATGTTGTAGGAAAGATTCCAGACTTTATCTTGCAATACAGTGTTATCATATTATAAAATAAAATATGACAGAAAACAGGTTGAAAACTCCCCCCTCCTGTGAGAGGGCTCTGGTGATGTGGAGGTACCTGGTTCTCCGGGTGCACCAGGAATCCTCTAGGACGAAGAAGTCCACCCCCAGCGTCATCAGGTTCCCCTTCACTGTGTCTGCAGACATGCGGCTGTACATGGAGTACACCAGCTTGGTTCTCTCCCTGCGAGGAGCACAATAAAGCATTGATACGGTGCACAAGTTGGAGAACAACTAAATGCAAAGTAAAGCAGTACAGAGGTGCAAGTCTCTTTGTTACCAGTTAAAGTGCTGCATTTAAAATCGTGCTTCAGTAAAGGTGCAAAAGTAAAATGACTATTTAAGCGTAATGTCCCATTTCTGAATAATATATATATTCAATTACTGTATTAATTTCTGAATGGTCAGTAGATCAATTTGCATCAAATTAAGTCATCATCTGTTTATTTAAAAAATAGCAAAAATAATAATAGTGAATAAAACCCCTCCTTTAACCCTTCTGTTGTCTTCGGGTCAAATCTGACCGATTTACTACTTTCATCAATCATAATTTTTTTGTTTTACATTCGATTGCATTAAGGCTTTATGATATCCTTCACAGTAGACATTTGAACATATACAATTGCTGATCACCACTTTCATTGGATTTTGGATGATTTAGTCAACTTTGTAACACCCATGGTGTTCCCGGTCAAAAATGACCGCCATGAAGAAAAGGAATTAGTAACCCTCCGGATCAGATAAAACATACACACACACACACACACACACATAAACACCCACACGCACGCACACACATATACTCTAGATGTGTCCCCCCCCCCTTATGTGCCCATCCCCCCATGTGAATCACACCTGACACAAACACACACACACACACACACACACACACACACACACACACACACACACACACACACACACACACACACACACACACACACACACACACACACACACACACACACACACACACACACACACACACAGAAATATTTGACACATTTCCCGCTCTCATGTGCCCATCCCCCCACATGGATCACACCTGGCACATGCAATACATGTTCAGTGTCAATTCTTTGTATATTTACTAGGGCTGTCAGTCGATTAAAATAGTTAATCGTGATTAATCGCAAATTAATCGCACATTTTTTATCCGTTCTAAATGTACCTTAGAGGAATATTTTTCAAGTTTTTAATACTCGTGTAACGTCCGAGGTGTTAAGGCTTCAAGAATACTTCTGTGTAACAAAAACTCAGGAACTTAGTACTTTTTGGAGCGTCACAGATGCCTCCGTTTATTTAACGTCGAGTCACACCACACTCTTCCTCTCACCACTCCAGAACAGCCTGCGCATGCTCACAACACATGACCTCTCAACCTAATGCTTACATGCGTCCCCCCTTACTGAAAGAAATGTCCCCATTTCCACACACATGGTGAGAACACAACAAAACATTAAAAAAAAACAATACAACCACGAAAAACCCCAAAAACATAACAAACCACACACCACCCCGCAGAATAATACATGCAGGCATGACGTACATTTGAAGAAAAAAAAATCTTTGAATAAAACAATGACAAACAAAACACATCCACAGCCCAAATAAAACATCAAACTAGGTATGACATAACCTATTCCCCTGTCCTGCACACTCGAAACATGAAAAAAAACAATTATGCAGCATAGAATACACAGGAGAAAATAATCACACAAGCACGTAAACACCAGTCATTCAGCCCATAACAAAGTCCATAAATTGGACAGGAGGCCGCGCTAACCTCCCAGCCCGGGACACCGTCGGTGCGGCTTGTTCGAGCTCAGGGGAATCACCAGCCCCAGAACCCGGCCCAAGATCACAGCCACTTTCCCCATCGGAAACCCTCAAGCGTCCAGAGCTCTGTGGGGAGACTGCATCTTGCAACGGAAGAGGCTGAGAAAGGTGTAAGAGAGACCTTGATGGTCCCTCCAAGGGAAAGGCTACCGGCAGGTTGTATCGCTGTAGTCTGTCGTAATGGACAGTTTGGAGAGAGGCTTCATCCCCAAACGGGCTACTTAGTTGGTACGTGACCCCCACTTCATCACCCCTATCCATTCGCCTCTGCACCAGATAAGGCCCCTTCCAGTGGGGAGCCAGCTTACGGCGGCTCTCAGTGGGATCATTTAACCACACCAAATCCCCGACTTCATACGGGTCGTGCCTCACTTTGGCGTCATAGTACGACTTCTGTTTGCTGCTTGCAGCAAAATTGTTATCCCTTGTCTGATCAAACGCTGTGTCCAAGCGTCTGAGAAGGGAACCAGCAAAGTCTTCCCGGGGACCCTGCACCAGATCATCCCGCTTTGGACCCAGTAAAACATCCACAGGAGTCCTGGCCTCCCTGCCATGCGTGAGAAAATACGGCGTGAAGCCTGTGCTGGAATGTACACTGGTATTGTACGCAAATGCGACCTGTGACAGAAAAGAGTCCCACTCCCCCTCACATGATAGAAGAGATTTCGCCAACTGATCGATAAGTGTCCTAATAAACCTCTCTACCATGCCATCAGACTTCGGATTGTAAGGCGTGGTGTGCGTCTTCTTCACACCTAACACGCCGCACAAATGCCTCACAACATCTGATTCGAACTGCCTGCCCATATCAGTGTGCAGAGTTTCCATTACCCCATGCTCCAAGATGTAGTTCTGGAAGAGACACTCCGCGACCGTCGGGGCTTTTTGATCGGGGATGGCATACAGATTTACAAATTTTGTGAAATAGTCCTCAACAACCAACACATACCGGTTGCCTTTTGATGTGACCGGCAACTCCAGTATGTCAGCCGCCACACGCTGGAAAGGTCTAACTGCATGTGAAGTTCTCATGGGGGCATGGTGTTTAGGCACCGGGGACTTCCTTCTCTGACAGGCATAACATTGGTCACACCACGAACGAATGTCACTGTGCATGGAGGGCCAATAGCACACACTTCTTGCGCGTGCCCAAACGCGATCATACGCCAGGTGAGCAGTCAGTGGAGCACCATGCAAGTGTCCCAGGACCTCTGTAACTAAGACAGCAGGAACAACAACCTGAGTAGACTGCCCTGCCTCAGACAGCCAAACAACTCTACATAAAAGTCCCTCCACAAAAGTCAGCCGGGGAAACTCATGCCAAAGTCTCTTCACACCCCGACTAGCATCTTTTAACCTCCATCTAGGGGGCCGTTGGCCATGCTCCAGCCAGGCCAAAACTTGTCCGATGTCTGCATCCTTTTGCTGGAGCTCCCTAATACCGGAGCCATCATGTGACAGAGTGAAGATTAGGGTCTGGTCCACTGAAGACCCTGAGTCAGGAGAAGGAGGGCCTGAAATCGGTCCCTGGGCTTGGGCCGTGGCAGGAGTCCCCACAGCACACACATCACCAGGACCACTGTCCCCAGCGCCAGGGAGAATTGTACTCAAGGGAGCGGATGTGGCATCGAGACTGCCTGAGTTCTCCAAAGCTTCAGGGGTGTCAGGCCTGCGTGAAAGGGCATCTGCATTTGTGTGTTTGGCCCCACTCTTGTGCACAATCACCCAGTCGTATGGGTCCAGCTCCAGAGCCCAACGGCTACGACGCCCCGTCCTGTCATTGTCAACCTGAAGTCGTCGCAGACCCAACAAAGGTTGATGATCTGTGATAATTGTGAAGGGGAGAAGACCCAAGTAATGCCTGAAATTACGCACTGCCCACACTATCGCCCACAGCTCCCTGTCGTAGGTGGACCAACGCCGTTCAGCTGCTGTGAGGGAGCGACTAGCGTAGGCCACCACTCTCTCCAGGCCATCCACTTCTTATGACAGCACAGCCCCCACAGCAATCTGCGAAGCATCTGTACCCAGCACGAAACTCTTGGTGAAGTCCGGGTGACATATGATAGGTTCGGCACAAAGACCATCCCGCAAAAACTCAAATGCCCCCTGGCAATCCGCCGTCCACTGAAAAGGGACATCCTTTCCTGTCAGATGGTTGAGGGGGGCCGCACGCTGGGCAAAACTCCTCACAAACCTCCTATAATAAGAGCAGAGACCCAGAAAAGCACGCACCTCTGTAGCGGACCGTGGAACTGGCCAAGTCTTCACCTTATCTGTGTTACGGGGGTCAGGACGAAGCCCCCCGGCGGAGACGACGTGACCAAGGAATACCACATGATCACGGGCAAGATGGCACTTCCTGGCGTTCAATCTAAGCCCAGCTGCCCCAATCCGAATGAAGACCTCCTCCAAAGCAGCCATGTGGGCCTCAAACGAACTACTGTAAATTAGTATATCGTCAAGATACACCATGCAGATGTGCCATGGCAGCCCCCTTAACACCAGCTCCATAACCCTCTGGAAGGTAGCGGGTGCATTGGTTAGACCCATAGGCATGGATTTGAACTGGTATAGGCCCTGGCCAGTGGTGAATGCTGTCTTTTCGCGGTCCTCCTCCGCCATTTCCACCTGCCAGTAACGGTGCGTCTACACAGCAGCGTTAAAAAAATCTTGAAACGCTTCTGCCCATTCACTTTGAATGGGGTGACGTCACTTTCCCTCACTTTTCGCCGAAATGCATTGAGGGCAGGCGAGCGGAGATTTTCAGGATTTTCAGGATTCAAAGTTGAACAATGTTCAACTTTTGAGGCTGAGGTGGAAGCGTCAGCCAATCAAATCCCGTGTATGCAAATCTGACAGTTCAAGCTCTAGCCAATCAAACGGCGTGTATGCTGGGAGAGACATACCGCAGGTCATTTCCTCATATTCCAAAAAATGGAGGAGAAATTAGCGGTAGCGAATCAATCACCCGGTGCTTTATGACCAGACCTACCGGGATATAAACCGGAGGAGCCAGGCATGGAGGGAGGTGGCAGAGACAGTGGTATGTTTTCGCCTGTTTTGGGGAGTTTATATCCAGTTTACTTCGGGCTTTTTTGCTTCGTATGTCGCGGGCGGGAGATTCATGTGATTGGTTGTTGTTGGAGACGGCCCGTTACGGTACGTCTACACAGCAGCGTTAAAAAAATCTTGGAGGTAGGCGTATCTGAAGCTTGGGGATTTTTTGCGAGCAACCAATCACATGAATCTCCCGCCCGCGACATACGAAGCAAAAAAGCCCGAAGTAAACTGGATATAAACTCCCCAAAACAGGCGAAAACCTACCACTGTCTCTGCCACCTC